AAAGGTTTCCCCCTTTTCAGTTTTCAAAAAAGCAAAAAAAGAAAGAAAAAAAAAGGCCAAAACATTAAAGGTACTTTCTTTTGTGTTTTTATTGTTTTCGAAACAAAGCAAAATGAAAATAAAAAACCAAGCATTTACGAAATAGAAAAAAAAAACAAAGAGGTCAAGTAGTTTACCTGAGGAGGAGTAGTTGGATTTGCGTCTAGGAGGTTAGATCAGAGCTTTTGGGAGGTTTTAGGTTCGGTTTTGAGTTTATCGGAAAATGGGTAGTCGAAGGGTTGAGGGATTTTTTTGGTATTTAGGGGTATTATCAGATGATTTAAGTCCTAGATCTGGGTTTAGGAGAGTGAAGAAAAGGAAATAGGCTCATTTTGGGTTCATTTTGGAGCTCTGGCCACCGTGTGTGGTGACAAAAAAGGAGGTCGGACGACGGCCGGAGGCGTTGTAAGGCGGCCGGCAGTTAGCCGATCGAAGAGAAAAAGAGAGAGAAAAGAGCTTTTAGTGTTTTTTCCTTCTAAAAATTAGGTTAAAAAAAGAGTTAATGTTGTATTTATAGAAAAAAGTTAGGGGTAAATCATGCTTAGGTCCCCCTACTTTAAGTTTGTTTTCACAAAATAGTACATGTAGGGGCTAAAATTGATATTTACCGACTTTCATGCATGCATTATAATTTTTGGTATATTTACTGTTTAGTCCTTTAACTTGCACGTGTTTTGCAAAATATTCACCTGTAGGGATCGATTCTATAATTTACCCACTTTTGTGCATGTTATATATTTTTATGGTTATTTGCATTTTAATCCCCCCATGTTTAGCTTTTTTTACATTTTAGTCATGTGTAGTGATGATTTAATTTTTTAAAATACTTCTGGACTGATTTAGTAATTTAATCATTTTTTAGAAGCATGATTTAGTCTCATAGGAAAGGAATAATTAGTAAATAGTCCCTGTAAATTTTGAACTATAATATTTTTTATTTAATTTAATTTGGCCATGCAAATTTTTTTATTTCAATTTGGTCCCCATGTTTTATTTAATTTTATCCTTTGTAATTTTAGCACTTAATATTAAAAATGTTCATTTTTTACACTTTATTTTCTTTTAATTTTTGACTTGATGATTTGATTGTTTATATTTTAGTCCTATTTTCATTTTATTTTATTCTAATTTTTGCATGTTATTTCATTTTAGTCATTAATTGATTTTGCATGATACCCTCATAAGCATTTCTTTCGAATCAAAATAATTTGACTAGGGTAATATTCGTTCATTTTAATATTGTCGTAAAGTGACTGTCTTAATGTATAACAAAGTTATTTTCGATAGTTTTAAAATGAAAGTCTATCCCACTTAGTGACACGAATTAAATTGAATCCATTTTAAAATTTGGTGATTGGGAAAAAGATTATGTTCTTTTAATTAAATTCACAGAGAAAAGACTGTTAGATCAAATCTAAGTTCTTGTCTCGACGTATTTAAATAATTGAACATCCTTATTCTCTTTAAGTATTGGTAAAATAAATAATTAATTGTACTTGCTTGGGGTATGCTTTTAATTTGCTTTATTTTTGCATGTGTTTTCCAATGGGTTATCAAAGTAGTAACACTCGAATCGATTTTGAAAATATTCACCTGTAGGGATCGATTCTATAATTTACCCACTTTTGTGCATAGTATATATTTTTATGGTTATTTGCGTTTTAATCCCTCCATGTTTAGCTTTTTTTACAATTTAGTCATGTGTAGTGATGATTTAATTTTTTAAAATACTTCTGGATTGATTTAGTAATTTAATCATTTTTAGAAGCATGATTTAGTCTCATAGAAAATGAATAATTAGGAAATAGTCCCTGTAAATTTTGAACTATAATATTTTTTATTTAATTTAATTTGGTCATGCAATTTTTTTTATTTCAATTTGGTCCCCATGTTTTATTTATTTTTATCCTTTGTAATTTTAGCACTTAATATTAAAAATGTTCATTTTAGTCACTTTTACACTTTATTTTCTTTTAATTTTTGACATGATGATTTGATTGTTTATATTTTAGTCCTATTTTCATTTTATTTTATTCTAATTTTTGCATGTTATTTCATTTTAGTCATTAATTGATTTTGCATGATACCCTCATAAGCATTTCTTTCGAATTAAAATAATTTGACTAGGGTAATATTCATTCATTTTAATATTGTCGTAAAGTGACTATCTTAATGTATAACAAAGTTATTTTCGATAGTTTTAAAATGAAAGTCTATCCCACTTAGTGACACGAATTAAATTGAATCCATTTTAAAATTTGGTGATTGGGAAAAAGATTATGTTCTTTTAATTAAATTCACCGAGAAAAGACTGTTAGATCAAATCTAAGTTCTCATCTCGACGTATTTAAATAATTGAACATCCTTATTCTCTTTAAGTATTGGTAAAATAAATAATTAATTGTACTTGCTTGGGGTATGCTTTTAATTTGCTTTATTTTTGCATGTGTTTTCCAATGGGTTATCAAAGTAGTAACACTCGAATCGATTTTGAAAATATTCACCTGTAGGGATCGATTCTATAATTTACCCACTTTTGTGCATGTTCTATATTTTTATGGTTATTTTCGTTTTAATCCCTCCATGTTTAGTTTTTTTTTACATTTTAGTCATGTGTAGTGATGATTTAATTGTTTAAAATACTTCTGGACTGATTTAGTAATTTAATCATTTTTAGAAGCATGATTTAGTCTCATAGAAAAGGAATAATTAGGAAATAGTCCCTTTAAATTTTGAACTATAATATTTTTTATTTAATTTAATTTGGTCATGCAATTTTTTTATTTCAATTTGGTTCCCATGTTTTATTTATTTTTATCCTTTGTAATTTTAGCACTTAATATTAAAAATGTTCATTTTAGTCACTTTTACACTTTATTTTCTTTTAATTTTTGACATGATGATTTGATTGTTTATATTTTAGTCCTATTTTCATTTTATTTTATTCTAATTTTTGCATGTTATTTCATTTTAGTCATTAATTGATTTTGCATGATACCCTCATAAGCATTTCTTTCGAATCAAAATAATTTGACTAGGGTAATATTCGTTCATTTTAATATTGTCGTAAAGTGACTATCTTAATGTATAACAAAGTTATTTTCGATAGTTTTAAAATGAAAGTCTATCCCACTTAGCGACACGAATTAAATTGAATCCATTTTAAAATTTGGTGATTGGGAAAAAGTTAATGTTCTTTTAATTAAATTCACCGAGAAAAGACTGTTAGATCAAATCTAAGTTCTCGTCTTGACGCATTTAAATAATTGAACATCCTTATTCTCATTAAGTATTGGTAAAATAAATAATTAATTGTACTTGCTTGGGGTATGCTTTTAATTTGCTTTATTTTTGCATGTGTTTTCCAATGGGTTATCAAAGTAGTAACACTCGAATCGATTTTGAAAATAGTAACATCTCTTTGTTTCGGTTAGAGTAATAAATTACTGCTTTAAGGCATGAAAGGTCATTTATTCTCGATTGAAAATAATTAGATATTACCGTTTTCTCTCGAATTAATATTGATCTTTAAGACTAAATAGTTATATCTCTTCATTTTGATTAAAGTAATAAATGAATGCTTTAACGCATGGGAGGTCATTTATTCTCGATTGTAAATAATTAGATATTATTATTTACTTTCGAATCAATATTGAATTTTAAGATGAAATAGTGATATATCCTCTCGACGTGTTTGAAGTGACTGAGGATCCTGACTAGCAACAACGGTGCACACCCTATGAAGCGTCATTCTCCTTATCGTCTGCAAGAATTCAAGGAACGAAACATTTCTGCCAAGATATCCAGAACGAGACCCAAATGTCTGTCCAGTCTCTCGAACAAGTCAATCGCTGATACATCAACGTGCCCCAGAACTTTCGTGAATATTATTAGGCCATAAATACCTATAGCAAACAGGTCAATCACTTCTCTTAGAGCGGTTCAAGTAATGTACTCACTATGTCCCTTCTTTTTTATGCCTCTTACGACCCACTCTTCACTCATGTTAGTCATCAAAAGCAGTTTCTTTTTTAAGGAAATAGTATCTGACAGCTTGGCGAACACCTTGTCTGCTTGGAATCTCGGACAACGAACCAAGGCATGGCACTTCTCTATGGTAGGTGTCATGTCCATTCGTCCAAAAGTAAAACAGCTATAGGCGGGGTTCCAGAACTGCGCAAGAGCTCAATATAGATTTTGGACAATCAGAACGTCTAAGAGATACGAGATGTCACCATAGAGTTGATAAAACATTTGCTTATCGGATGCTTCTTACTTTCCTAGGATTTCTTTCAGCTCGCTCAGCTCATTTTGACGAACATTGATGTGTCTGTACCCAATCAGATCTGACACATACCCAGGCTGTAAACTATCTCCATTTGTTAGTTGGGACTACAAGGCCCATCTCAGAACATCTGCACTATCTTCAACCTCTTTTTGAATTTTTCGTTCCATATTACTAGCCTTCAACATGGACATCGGTAAGGATAAACACCATGGAATGAATAGTGCAATGTAAAAATGAGAACAAAATAAAACAAAAGGCACTACAGCAAAATTGTTATACAGCGGCATTTTTAGTGGCGTTTTAGGAGTAAACGCCACTAATTTTAAACATATAGCGGCGTTTACATAGCAAACGCCACAAAATGGTAACTTTAGCAGCGTTTTTATAAAAACGCCGCAATAGGTTCAACGATAGTGGCTTTTTTCAATAAACGCCGCAAAAGAGTAGTACTTTAGTGGCGTTTTTATACAAACGCCGCTAAAGACTCGTAATTTAGTGGTATTTTTATACAAACGCTGCTATAAAATTGTACTTTATTGGCGTTTTTATACAAACGCCGTTATACACATGTACTATAGTGGCGTTTTTATACAAACACCGTTATACACATGTACTATAGTGGCGTTGTCAATCCTCCTTTGAAAACCCTAACCTCCCTTCTGGCTTCACTCAGATGGACCATCTCCTCCTCTCTTTCCTCTCTCTTTCCGATTCCTCCCCTCCTGTTTCCCTCGACCTTTCCTTCGACCGCCTCCTCGATTCCACTCCTTCCGACGCCGATCAGGCTCTTCTCATCGATCGCGCTCACAGTATTGGTTCCCTCCTCCTCCGTGCCGCTAATCGCTCCACTCGTAAACGTGCTTCTCTTCATAACTCCATCGCCTGGGCCCTCTCTCCTGATCTGACCATCAAGGTAAATACCTCCATTCTTCCACATTTTCATCAAGGCCTTTGATTTTGTTTTTAAATCTTGTTTTGATGATGACATGCTTTTTTAATTTTATTGCAGGTGTTTTCTATGTTAGATTCGCAGTCTTTGCTACGCCGCGGCAACGTGTTGGATGTTTAACAAGTGTGCTATGGATCCATTGTGCTACGAAAATATTGACCTTACCACTGTCGTTCCCAAGGTTAATAATGTTGTTGTCTCCACCATGATCCAACGAGCTGGGAAATCGTTCCGGTAAGATTTCCTTTCATTTTTCACTATTACAATTTGCCTTTCTTTTTAACTAATAAATACATTATCTTAAGCCGATACTTAAGTTTCCTTTTGCATTTTAAAAGTCTTATTACCGCTTATCGATCTCTTAAGTCTTGGAAAACTTCATTAATTAGTAACTCAGAAGGTGTTTTTGTCGTTTCCTTTATGTTTTATCTATTAGAGAAAAGGATTAGTATGGGTTAGTATCAGCTAGTTCATTTATTTGCATGTGGTTGTTTATGTTGTTATGTTTTCTTGTTAATTACGATGTTTTGAATGGTTGTTTAGATCGCTTAAGCTTGGAATAGTACCAGGCCCAACTTCCTCTCCGGGTTCCTGTCAACCATTGGTTTATACCATCCAGAATTCTGTAGATGTATCTAGCTTTTCATGGAATGAAAAAAAGACCAGGCAAGGGAAAGAATCATCTATTCTTACAAGGACCTGCTTATACCCATTAAGTGGGGACAATGGCACCGCTGGGTATGGTTGAATACATTGACTCCTTGTTTAGAATGTGGTTTATGTGATAAGTTGTTCTTTTTGTTCTTATCATTTGCTATTTTCATATTGTAAGGGCTCTTTTGTGGAGGTTGCATCTTTACAATATTGAAAGAATGGACAATACATCACTTTGTGTGGCATTAGCTGCCTGCCCTTCTTTACTTGATTTGGAAATTGTCGGCCTGTAAGTTTCGCTATCTAAGTTGGTTTTTACATTTATTGACCCCACCAATTTGCCCTTTCCTTTCTTTTCTGTTGGTTTGAGCATGCGTTAAGCTGTTGCAGCTGGATGATATAACAAGCGGTAGAAGCTTATAACTTAAAAGTTGTTTCCAAATATGAAAAAATTTGGAATGATTGATCAAAGAACAATGCTCACAAAAGATCCGTTTTCTACGTGCACTAACGTAAATTAGTATACTAATATTAATAAATATCCGAATGAATGAATACTGAATAAAACATTCTATATTAATTAAAAAAGCAATTATTGTCTGATCATCGAGTTTTGTTAGTTTTAACACAATTTGGTTTGCAGTTGTTTGTGGTACTCAGACAATGTGGTTTTAGCATAGTAGCTAATTCTGTTTTTTGTTTAACCTTAAAATTATTCAATCAACCTTCGATTGATGCAGTCATGTCGAGTTGAGGCAAACTTTGATGTCAGTGAGCTCCAATTGGCACTTGATAGAGCGTTTATTCTTTGAGTCTTCCAAAATATGTACAGATTCTCTTCTTGAGTGTCTCTTTTAACTGCTCTTTACATATCTGCTCATATGATAATGCAGGGAGGGATGATAGCTTGAAGTCGCAAACTTGTGTGGATGTCGTGAACAATTGTCCTAATCTTTCTTCTTTATCGCTGAGAGGTTTTAAACTGCATGATTATAAAGTCCGTATTCTTGTTAAGGTATGAACTTGTTTGGTGTTAAGTTCTGGTTGACATATAATCTCAATGGTCTGAAAGTATTAGGAAGTATGGGGTTGTATAAATATCTTAAGTTCTGTTTGAGGCGGTGTTGTATGCCTGGAAGAGTTGAGATACTATTAGATTATGTTGCAATGAGCAGATGTCTTAAATATTTGTTATAAATTTGATCTGAATGAAAATTGAGAAGTTTAGTCCTTCATTTTACTTGCAATTAGCAGTGGTCTGTAAATATCTGTTATCAATTTGACCTGAATGTAAATTGAGAAGTTTAGTCCTTCATATTACTTGCAGGGATTCCGTAAACTTAAATATGCCGATTTTTCGACATCTTACTCGATCACTGGAACATTTTTGAGGTCTGTGCTGCTCTTTTCAACCATAACTAGGAGAATCCCTTTAAATGTTTTTTTTTTCAACTTATATTTTGTGCAGAATGAGATTTTTCCCTGCTTGTAATCAGGAATTTGGGAAGTGGAAGTGGTGGGAATCTACTAGAGGTTTTAATTTTAAGGGACTGAATGCATCTCAAAGAGGTGAGGTCTGAATCCAACCCCCAATCTATTCCCCTCTAGCAAAACTTCCCCTCTGTATCTGTCTCTCTTTCTCCAGTCTGACTTCTGGTGCAGGTGGAAGTTTCTAGGTTCTTGACCGCAATTATTGCAGGAGATTTTAAATTCCTTCAATATCTTGTGAGTGAAATTGACAAGTGATTATCATTTTCATAATCCATGTGTATGCTAAATCTGCTTTTGACCCCGATTACTTCCATCACCTAGGATATTTCTAATAGAGAAGGTTTAGCTTCAGAAGGTGATTGGTATCAGAGATCTTACAACCCAAGATCGAAGGTGATATATAAGGGTAAGCTAATCACGATGCTTTGAATCAGGATATATTACCCTAGGATTTCTTTGAATCACGATGATGTCCTTCTCGTAGAATTATTGAATAGTTTGATTCGGGGTTAGTCACCTTTGTGCGGTGCTCCGTTTAACTTTAGATATGCAGGAGCAAACAACACAACATATTTTCTAGGTGAAATAATAGCACTTTGCTTCTGAATTATTGTTTGAGCTCTGGTTTATCTTTTATGTAAACAATGGAATAGTAACATACTTTTGTTGTTAAATTGTCGCTGATCGTCAACTTTATTATACTAATAAGAGATGATGTAGATTCTCATTGGAAACCCTAGGAATAATCCTTTTAAATTCATGTTTGCTAAAGAAATTCTGACATCTGTATTGGGGTAAACCAACCATGTTAATGAAGCCTATGTATTAACATCCTCGTCAAAATTGTCTTAGTCTACCATATATTCATCTTCATTACATTCATTTGAGATATTCAAATTCAATCTAGATTTTTTTCACTTATTGGCTGTTTGATTGGTTAATCTGCATACATTTTATTAAAATTGATTTGATATGTATCACTGCTCACCATTGCATACAATGAAAATCGTAGTGCTGATGCATGTGTTCCTGTTTTTCGTCTAATTATTGTGATGTAGTTTCTTCTGTGATGATAAGAATGTGATTATTTGGACTGCAGGTCATGTGCCGCCAAAATTCATGCTTGCATTTGTCTGCAGAGGAAACAGATATAGCTGTAGATAATCTATTAATATATTTGTCTAAAACCCATCTTCTTCACTTTTTGAGTTCTTTTTATCGTCTAAAATTCTTATAGTACAAAGTTATAACTGGAAATATATGTTCCTTGATTCATTTGTTTATTTTACTGATCATGAATAGGATCAAAAGGCACATGAAGCAATCTTGAAATGATTGAACCTACTAGGGTTTTCCCTATGAACTTTGAGGGACTTAGACATGCATGCTTTCTTGATCCAAAATTATAAGATTTCATTGCTTATCCCTCTTTTGTATTTCCTTAACTTTTCTAAGAATACAAACTTGCTTAGATTCTTGGGGTAAGAATTCTAACTTCTAAAAGTAAGATGGCAACCAATACATTATTAAATTTTTTATTTATGATGACATTTTTTACATTCTTATGTAGAATATATTTTAGTTTTCATGGTTCCTGACTTCCTGTTTTTATTGTTTGTTGCAACATCTTTTTTCAGTTCTCAATCACTCACATGTATGTTATGAATGCAAGTTCTGCTGGTTGTTTCCTTCTCTTCTTAGTCTCATCTAAATTATTGTAATTGCAGTAATCTTGAAGAACAAACTTCAACAAAAAGCGGCTTCTTCAATAGACTGGCACAACGTTTCCCATTTGTTTTTAATCTATTGAGGAGAGATCATTCACTGTCAAATGATACTTTCAAATAAGATGTCAAGACGATGAATATGACAAATTCCAATGAAGTGTGAAACAAAGTAGCTTTAGAAGGCATATCTGGAGGTTATGATGATGACGCTAGTGAAATTGAGGATGTATCGAACAACAAATCCATGTATATCTATACTTTGAGGTTCAGTTGTAACTCATTTGTACTTTAATGTCTTTTAAGGTTCTCTCTCCATAAAAAAACTTTAATTTATTTTGTTGTTAAGTATTTTTCTTTATGTTTTTTGTCTTAATTAAAATGTATGGTTGTTGTTATTTAGATAAAGCTAGATATAAATTTAGGTGATGTATAGAAGAAATGAAATATGCAAAATCAATTAATATTAGCTAAAGAAAGGTAATTAGCGGCGTTTGTATCCAAAAACGCCGCTATAGGTCTGACTTTTTGCGGTGTTTGTGTTCAAAAACGCCGTTATAGGTCTAACCTTTTGCGGCGTTTGTGTCTAAAAATGCCGCAAAAGGTTAGACCTATAACGGCATTTGTTCTAAAAACGCTAGTATAGGTCTTCTCTTTTGCGGCGTTTGTATCAAAAAACGCCGCTATAGATCTGACTTTTTGCGGCGTTTTTTCTAGAAACGCCGCTATATATCATAACTTTTTGTGGCGTTTATTCCAAAAACGCCGCTATAGATATCGACCTTTTGCGGCGTTTGTTCAAAAAATGCCGTAATAGATATTGACCTATTGCGGCATTTTTTGTTCTCAAACGCCGCTAACTTTAGCGGCGCTGGTATTGTCGGCGCTTCTTGCGGCGTTTTTCCTATCGCCGCAAATACTTTTAGCGGCGCTTAAAAACGCCGCTATAAGACTAAAAAACGCCGCTAAAACTCTGTTTTGCTGTAGTGAGGACAAGAGAAAATTAGTCAGTAATCATAAAGAAATTAATCGGATATATATAATTTGTCGATAAAACCTACCCCACATACTGGCTACCCAATCATGCTTTAGTTGATCCTACCTAAACAAGATTTCTACTCACATGCTTTATTTATAGAAAATCGTAACCTCATGGCATTTAGTTCACATGCTTATTCGAAAATTGCTCCCAATTGTAGTAAAAGAAATTTGTATAATTAATAATGCATTTGATCCTTATTAATTACCAATCCATTCAATTTAGTCCTAAGTCGAACTAATTCAAATATATCTAATAATAATTCTATCAATTTGGTGCACATCATGTTTATTGACTCACTCATCTTCCTTATTTTTTTCCTCTTATCTCTCTTTCTTTGCAAAAGAAAAACTTAAAAAATTAAATATTTTCCCCAAATGAGAAAGCACAAAAATTTAATAATATCATCATCGTCCCCAACACAATATGAGGTATTCATATTTTAATATCCAAATTAACACAAGATTTTTGGAATTTTTGTTGTGTATATATTATCTGTAACACTCTAAACCAGTACGACATATAGACGACCGATTATAATTCCTCACGGAACCACCGAATGTGGCTAACCAAAAACTTTATTTACTTAATTTAAAATAATCATTTGCGATACTTATGATATAATAAATCAATCAAAATTTAAATAAAATGGTTTAGGAGCACCCAAAAATAAATAAATCTCAATATAAAGGCCATCATTTAAAATAAGTTACAACTTGAATATACAAAACATGTTTTACAAATATACATGCCATCTAAAGAAGAACTCGAGACGAAATCTATGTCTAGATCAAGGCTGAACGAAAGGCCCATCAACTGCACCTCTACTAATCTATGTAAGGAAACAAATTCGAAACGCTATAATTTTCTACCCTCTTTCGTTCATGTAATGTTTATTAATATCCTATTGTATACCTGAACTTTTCATATTTGAGAATGTAATCATTCCACGATACTTTGGCAACCATTCATGTTTGGTAATCGAAATATATATTTGGTGAAATACATGCTTTGGGATTGAATACAGAATAGAAACAAGGGATTCTAAATGTTAAACAAAATAGTCTTTCCATTTAGCAATTAATTTACATAGTAAGCTATGCTTGGCTTCCTCATTAACGTTTGGTTCAACATAGTTGCATTGCATTTATAAATAAAGGCACTAGATCCCTTAAGCAAGATCAAAAGTTCGAATCTTGGCGTTTGCGAATGGAGCAAACTTGGTTGGGAGGGTCACCCTCGCCTCTGCAGTACCCGATCTGGATTAGTTGGTCAATAGATCAGATAATAGTGATTAATACAAATAAATAAATAAATAAATAAAGGCTACATGAGTTCAATAAGATATAGAAAATAAAAAATTATATTTATTTTGAACACACTTATATTAATTCCACGCAAATAAAACAAATCCACAAATGTTCCTTACATCCTTCGATCATTATTGTATATATTATTTTTTTCAACATTTTGAAGAAATAATTTTATTTAATTTCTTCCGGTTCAGTTTCAAATGCAGTTAAGGGATAACTCTTTGACAATCCCATTAAAGCGGTAAAGATGATTTTGATAGGATCAGATGGATCGATTGAGATATCAGAAAGAGGAACCCAAATCATCATCTCTTTGCTTTTGATACCCGAAAACTTGCGCATCCGACCATCCTCAAGGAATCCCGTCATCTCGGATGCGAACGAGCTTATTCCAATGTCCTTCAACTTATACTTGGTGGGCTTTTGTTGTTTCAGCCACGTAAAACCCGTGATCGGGTTAAACCCGACCTCAACTAAATTGTTACAAGGCATTAACGTTTTGGGTAGTCGGAACATCTCGAGGAGCTCTTGCGCTTTTTGCTTGCAAAGCGTTGCGCCATGATATACTTCGGCACCAGCTCGGTGAGTTGCTATATCCTTGGATGCCATTCCACTGATCTTTTGTTTTGTTTTGTTTCAATTTGCAAATCCCAACAATCTCAACTTGCTTATATACAGTCCCTCATCTATCAATGGCAGAAAATGAAGGCATTTTTTTTGTTTTTTAAATTCAGCTTGTGAATGTGTGCATATTTTTCTATGATTTAACTTTCGTTATTTATGTAATATTTTAAGCATCATATGAAAGAATTCACTGATTATTTTTGTATTCAGTTTTAAAAATGGGAAAGAATAATTGCTTTGCATGATTCCATTAATTAAATTGATTATGAGGTAGAGAGAGAAAACTCATGGCGCATGAGGGATATTCTTGTTATATTGGGAATCAATTAAAAAATCTCAAGTCTCTAGTACTTTTGCACGTTGGGAATGTTGTTCGTATACTTTTATTTCGGGAATTTAGTTACATTATTTTTTTAATTGAAAAAATAAGAAATATATGAAATTACAATAAAGATTTACAATCATAATCGTAAATTAAGCATAATTAGAAAAATTTCCTATAATCTTTGAAATAAAACTAACAACTTAAGATCACATAAGGACCATACAAT